CCCGCACGCCCCCCGAACCGGCGACCGCCTGGGCCCTGGCTGGCTCCCCTGGCGACGCTCTGGCCGGCAGCTTTCTCTTTGTTTTCTCCACTCCCCGCGCCCACCGCGGCTCGTCTCCGTCCAGACCCCTTTCCCTCTGCTCAGCTCGCTTCCCTTCCTTCCCTCCTGTGCCTGGGCATCCCAGGGGCGCCCAAAGGCGTCACTTCCTGCAGCTCTGTGGTTCACCCCATGGTGGCGGCTTCGAGTCCTCAGCTGTATCCGCATTTGCCCTGCAGGTGACACACGGGGGTATGCAGGGGGCCACCTGAATCTGTAGGTCTGAGGATGCCTGGAGAAGGCAGCACAAACCAGTGGGTGACGGGCCCTAGAAAAGGCGTCTCCAGTGATGACTGTGTCAGGTCCCCCCACTGTGCACGGCGACCTGCCCCGTGACTTGCTGTGGGGGAATCAGTTCAGCTCTAAGAGTCGAAAGCAAGAGGCTTGAGGGGCAGGGGCAGCCAGTGAGCTTGGGGGGACCCCGGCAACCCTCCCACGGAGCCCGCTCTCGAGCCCCCCCTCGGCAGCCGTGAGGGCATCTGTAGGGCGGGCACTGGCATTGTCTTCGCTTAGACCTCTCGGCGGCGGCCGCGCCCGAAGATGTGTCTTCGGCCCCCCAGGACGTCCTCTCTGGTGTCCCCGTACCCGGGGTCTCTCACGGAAGAGCCAGAAGCAGGAAAGGTCAGCATGGGAAGCACACGGGGCTCTGTGACCACACCCCTGCCATCCCCTCCTCTTAGACCGAGCGGAACCACCTGATCTTGAGTGTCTGGAAGTGTCGCCGGGCACACCTCGGTCAGGGTGAACCTGACGACCAAGCTCGATCCAACCTGTAGTCTATCAAAGCCTTCTGTGCGCAGCAGATACGCCAACTGCCAACGGGTCCGAAGTCGAGCCTGGAGGGCCCCGCGGGGCAGAGCGTCACCTCGCCCGGGGCCTTTACGGGCGTGGCCTGCGTCTTTCATTTGGGGAGCAGGGTCGGGGGGACCTGGCCTTCCATCAGCATGCCCTGTTGGCGTTGAGTCACAGCACGAGCCCCTCCTGCAAATCGCCCACTAAATACACGATGTTTGTCCTGGGAGAGCAGCATGATTATTTCATTCACATTGAAAATATTTTGAGGGGAACAAAACCCAGGAGCCCCTGGAGACACGCTGCACGGACCCCTGAGAGCAGGGGCAGCGTCTCCGCGGCGAAGGCGGCGCCGTCCGCCTGGGAATTCGCGGTCCAGGTCCTAATCGGCCGCTGCTCCATGGTCCAGGTTGACACAGGTGCACACGGCCACTCGCTGCACACACACGGGTCTCGGTTCCGCAGAGTTCTCGCTGGCCGACCGTGGGTGCAGAGGCGAGGTTTGCACGCGTGTCCCGTTTTCGGCCGCGTTCCCTGGAATGCCGGCCCGTGGCCAAGGCCTGCTCTGTCATTCTGACCACCTGCCCCGCCTGCTCTGACGTCGCCGCAAACGCTGCTTCACCACACGCGTCCCATCCCCCGGGTCGTGCCTTTCGGATCTAAAGTCACGATGCGTAAGCGGCTTTGCTTGTCACCTGCTTGAGAAGAGAAAAGCTTCCTATATGACATTTCCCGTCGTAAAATAACAAGACAGATTAGTGTTTGTGCCGGGTGTTGGCAGCAGAATTCTTCCAAAGCTTTCCTTTGGGCGACGAAAAGCCGCTGCGCTGTTTTGACTCGCTAATCAAGTGTAATTGGCCATAGATTTTTCCCGCGCCATCTGGGAAGCGGGTGAGGAGCTGGCGGAGCTGCTGGTGGCGTCGCGCGGTGTTCGAGCGATTACAGCTCTTACCGAGCGAGTGAACAGAACGGCTCTGGAGACGCCTGCGAACTCGAGGCCGAGACGCCCCTTCACGTTGGCTGTGCCGCTGGCTGGCGGACACGTGCTTATATGTCGTAATTGATTCTCGCTCCAGCTTTGGAGCAAGAGACGCATTCTGGATCTGCCTGGCGAGTCAGTTAAGACGGGAAGGTGCTCGCACACTTCAGCCGCGTCAGACATTTGCAGTGAAAACATGGCACTCGCTTGGGGGGCCGGGGCTAACGTGCTTTAAACGCACTGATCCTTTGCGCCCTGTGTTGGGCTCCAAATGTTTTTGAAGGCGTTATATTGGACCCTTGAGAATGACTTCTGAGATTTTTGTCGATGAAACGTCCCCATCTCGAACACACAGCTCCACTCCAGTCACATACTCGGGTGCGTGCAACTGAAGTTTCGGCTTTTGAAAAGGACCAGGACACCTGACACCTACATGTCACTGGATGTGGCGTTTTTCTTTAGAGCTGAATCCCACTCTGGAGCCGCCCCTAGGGCACTTCTGAAATAAATGGCCAGTTGTGACCCAGCGTCAGGCCAGATTCGGGTTCGTTCACTTATTAAGTCGTCTGCTCACTAGCTTGCTCACACACGGTTTCTCGTGTCTGTCCCCCCATGCTGAATTCCTGGAGAAGGAGAACTTGACACGTCGTGTTCTTCAGGGCACGTTTCTCGATTAACCAGAGCTCCCTGGTGGGGACGTGGCACTCAGCAGCACACACCAGCTGGGCGGTCTGTTCCCGG